AAAGTTAGAAATGGTAGTGACTAGAATCTGGATGCAACTTAAACTTTGTATCTTCATTCATCCTTAGAAATCTTTTTTGTATGTCATGCTCTTATCTCTGAGAAGTGATGGAAGCCTCTGTATCTTTGAATGTTTTGGGAAATAATTGCATTGTAGGGAATTAACATGCACTTGTAGGGCAGTGAACCAAAAATAAATGGCGTCGAGGTCCTTTTGTTGTACTAGCTAAGCACCCTGTTGATCGGATACTTGTGAATTTTCATTCTGGAATGCCCCGTATGAGTCCAGCTCCCTGTGCCTCTTCCTTGCAACCCCCCATACTGTCCCTTCGCCTTTGCTGCAGCACTAGGCTGACTTTGCCTGCAGTTCTGACTCGATCTTTTTCCTCGTGGGTTGCACAACAGATCCTCAGTTGGAGCCCTGGAAGTACAGAAACAAAAGAAAGAATAGCCTTGTGGTCAAGGTACTAGCCTGAAACTTGGATTTTTATACGTTTTGTCAGACTTGGTTTGTTATAGTGCTCGGAAGTCCCTTAGGGGATTGTTGACAAAAGGTATTTTGTCTCTTAATCACTTTTTGAATTCAATGGGAGATTGTATGTCTAAATATCCACGAGTTTTATGCTGTATATGTTTGTTTACTGTCTGCAAAGGAGAGAACAATACTTTGTTACCTCGTAGGACTGGGGGGAGCAAAAGGAGGGATAGCTATTCTTCAGAAAGATCTCTATCCTGGAGATAAGAGGGAGGTGCTCTGTATTTACCCTCACCTCTCCTCTGAACCTTCTTCCCTGATAACACCTGCTTGAGTAGATAACCTTCTCTTCCTAATAAGCACACATATATTTACATATGCACACATTTTCTTATACACACACACGCGTGCATATATAGGAATGTATATGTACTATATCTTAAATGTTACTGTTTTTTATACTTCATATAGTATATAAAATATACTTCAATCTGAAGTGAAATACTTTCTCTATTTTGTGTAACCCACTGTTTTTACATTCAATCAATTAATTTTTGTTAGGGCTGGGCCACAAGCATGGCTGCAGAAAGATGTTGGTGTTTTGCCCAGTGTTAGTGGTTGCTGTGCTAAGGCCTTTCCTCACCGTCCATGCAGCTTATGTCCTGACTATTTATGATTAATAAAATGCTGGTCCCTTGGCTGCTTCTCACCATGTGTTAAGTCTGGATGGATGGATGGATCTGAACTGCAGCCATTGCTAGGTAGAAAACAGCTTGCTAACACACAGTTTAAGGGAAGAAACAAACAATTTGTGTATGGTTGAAAGGGCACAGATAATAAGGTAAATAAGTTCTGAGTAAAATGGTCCCTAAGCATTCTTTTCCTGCCTCACAGGTGTTTGTAAGGTGCTTTGAGATCATTTATATAGAGATCACAATATCCTTGCACAACTCTTCTCAAATTTTCCTCTGAACAGAGAAGAAACTTAATATGAACTGTTTCTGCGCGGGGGGTCATGTTTCTTAGGCTCACAGAATGCTTTACTCACTAGCAGTCACTCTGATTTGTCTTTAAGATTAGTGATTTTTTTTCAATTAAAACAGAATGTAAAAGTATTGCTCATTTAGAAAGCATTATTGTGTGTTTATAAGTACCCTTGAATGTACTTATCCACTGGGAGCATGCAGATGTCTGTTGGAATTTAATTTCTCTGCAGCATGTTGGGGGTGGGGACAGAAGAGAAGTAGCCAGAAAATTATGGTTGCTGCAGTAAATACCAGGTTTCTCCCAGTGACCTGCGCTGACTGCAGAGCTTATTACATCTGATGTAAGCATAAAACATCTGTTCAGCAATGCTGTTCTCTGGCTGGTCTGTATTTGTACCAGCAAATTATGCGTTCTTGGCTGATTGTTGCCTGTTGTGGGGAGTCATGAAGAAAAGGAGGTGTCACATTTTAAAGCTTACTGTAAAAAAGATGTTATGAAATACCTGCAAGGCAGCACTGCTCATTAAGCAGTGGAAACCTTGCCTCACCTCTGTGGTGTGGTCCTTTCTGAGCTCCACAGTCGTAGGTGTGCAGGCCAGCAGGAATCCTGTGGGTGGATGGTGTAGCCTGTAGCAAGCAACATGGATGGTGAATAGGGCTGTTGTTTCAGAAAGTTAACTTTAGAGTCCCCTAAGGGTGTTTTTTATTTGGGGGTTCCTACAAAGTCAGTCTGTGTTGTCGGCTGGTGACACCCAGCGATAAGGCAGAGGTGGTGAACCTTGTGCTCTCGATCTAGCAAATTCTTCTTTGGAGTACAGTACTGCTGCTGGTACATGGTGTGCGCTGTCCTTGCTCTGAGGCATCGAAGGTGAATCCAGGGCACTGCCTTCAGCAGCTTGCGATTTTGCTTGGTTTCAGTCACTGTGAGCAAAGCTGGCACTTCCACTGAGGTGGCTCTTACCCGACCGAAAAGGGTGCAGCAGCGCTGGTCGTCTGTGCTTTGCAATAGCTTTTACCCCCTCAGGCTACAGAGCTGCAGCGGGTGCGCCTGCACAGCGGGTTGGCCGTGGGGGGCCGTCCTGGGGCAGCTCCCCAGGGCTGGGGAGTCCGTGTAATACAGCAATTCCTGCTCTGGTTGTGCCCAGTGCGGTTTGATGGACTCCCTTACAACCTGATAAGCTGGCTAGCGGGTGGCTCTGAACGGTGGGCAGAGTATCAGCTACATGAATAGAGTACAAAGCTGTCTGAGGTCACCGATGTTCTTTTATCTGGTTTACAGGCTCTGTAGCTGCTGCTATTAGATATAGGAAGAAAAAGCTTGTCATGGGATGTTTTACATTCTAAACAACACCTTGTTTGGGTGGGGTTTGTTTTGTTTTGTTTTTAATGTAGTGTTTCTGAAGGGGATCCTGGCAATAAGTATGAGCCACCAGCCTGAGCAGTTCTTTTGTACCGATGCTTTTGAATCTGTGTCTGTGTTAGCGTATTTCCTAGAGAAGTAGCCGAGACAGGATTATTCACACCTCAGATTAAATTTATTTATTTTATTAGCAGCAGCTTCAGTATCTTCAATTTTCAGCACTTGGTGAAGATGCAGAATTTGCTTTTTTTGCGAGAAAGCCTTCGTGTGTGTTTCCATGTGTGAATCTTGTTTCCATGGCATCAACCTTTAAGCTTGAGAAGCATTGGTGGGAGCATTAGCCAGTGAATAGGCATTAGGAACCAGCCCTGCTCCCATGTAGGGCTCTGACTTGTGGTGAGGATAATGACACGGGATATGGTGATGATTTATGCATTGTAATAGTCAGGGCTTAAAGCTTTGCCTGTCTGCAATATTGTGGAATAGAAGACTTGATGCAATCCTGCTAGTGCTCTTGCAAAGGCATTGCTTTTCCTGCTGCTTTGCCTTGACTTTTCTGAAGATGAGGCCATGCTGGACTGTGCTGTGGCTTGAATTATTCTTCTTGCCCTGTTTTCCCAAATGCTTTAATGTCTTGGCTAAGCACCTCTATCCTAAAGAGTCTGTTTTGTCTTCCTTGCCATTGTTGTGTTAGGATGGCAGTGACCAAATATTTTCATGTCACAGTTGTGGTGCAGGTACATCGTGAGTAGTAGCGATTGCAGTATTTATTTGTAACACAATTGCTCAAGCTAGTCTGTCTGTCAGTCTTGGGCATCTCTTTTCCAGTAAATGCTCAAGCACAGTGAGCCAATTACAAGGACTGTTTTGTTAACTTCCATGGTTTTATGTTATGCAGACATTGAGGTGATTGTAGCAGTTTCTCTGGCGGTAAAAACTATAAAGTTATGCACTCACAAAACCATATAAAATTTTGATGGTATGGACTTCTATTTTTTTATATATAACTGAGCATATACTTCTGTTTTATATTGTATCTTTATATATATATCTTTTATATATATTAAATCTACTTTTAAGAAGTAGAAGAATGTGTTTATTAATTTTCTCCAGCTCAGTAGTACGTGTAACAGGCAAGTAGGTGCAAGACCTAACGGATACATGAAGTGGATACAGGGTTTTGAGGGGATTGCTTGTGTTTCGATTTAAAACTTGAGGGCACTCAGCAGAGTAACCTGGTGTAAGATGATGTCTATGTTACGTCAGACAATTATGCCAGCAGTGACACTGCAAAAGAATTCGATAGGAGAAACAAACCCTTGCAGTAAGGCAGTGGGCTGCTCTCAGTGCTTGTGTTACCATCATTTGTGAAGAATTTAGGAAAGTTTAGTGAGTGATACTACATGATATATGCTAAAGGAACTTAAACATCTGACATGTTCACAGCAGCTGCAAAGAAGAAAGCAAAATACATTGGCTATGAGTTCACTTTGAAAAGAAATTCATAACTGATTTCCATCACTAATGAATGAGCTTGTGAGAAAATGTTTGCATTGGTTTCTTTTTTTCTGCGGCTTTAAAAAATTAAACCAGCCTGCTGCTAATAGAAGAGTTGAGTTCTATGGTATTTTTTTCTCCATTCTAGACAAATGACCATAGGGATCATATCGCTTCAGGTTTCTCACACTGAGCCTGTATACTTTGTGCAGTTTTTCAGGGATCATCTGGAAAAACAGTATAGATAGGAGAAATGGAGATCCTCGTTGCCCTTCTGATTCCCAGCTGTCTCCGTATGGCTCTGATCTTGCAAAGGCTTAATCTGTGTTTGCTCTATGCCCATGAATAGTCCTGTTGGATCCAGTGGATGTTGTCAAGGCTGTGATGTTTTTGCAGAATTGTGGCTAGTCTTGCTCCTGAGGATTGAAATGTCAGTGGTGACTGTATTTTGAAAAGAAAATGCCTGTTTATTAACAAAACAAACATACTCTCCTGCCACTAAGCCCCTAAGTGAGCCTACAAATGAAAATTCGTTTAAAAGTGAGAACACTTCAACCTTGATTTTTGCATCCTACAAACTGTAGTTGTTTGTTTCAGGTTAATTTTTAATTTCCTGTCATAATGGTGGTTGTCTTCATACTGGTAAGCGGGGTTTTTTTAATTCATTCATACTTCTTTTTCAGATCGCATGTGGCTCAGAGCATAATCTGGCAGTAGTTGGTAAGTAGCTTAATTTTATATCAAATCCTCTCACCTTTTTTTCATTTTGAAGTAGCACAAGATGAAAGAAAAACGTGCACATCTTACATACTGAGTGATTAAGGGCACTGTGTGCAGCTGAAAGGAGGAAAGTAACATATAGATGTGGAAGATAGAAGAAGAGAAACGGGTAGCATAAATGGTGATGATGAAAAGGTGCCCTCATTGACCAGCCCCAGTAAGAAAAGAGGGGTTGATGGATGTAACAGCAAAATACATCTGCAAAGTGCTGTTTTAGAATGGAGCTGTTGCAATAATTCAAGCTGCAGATTCAGAGTAGCATCTAAACTTGAAGCTGGTCAAAAGTATCTTTGTTTAACATGGAAATTTTTCAATGAAAAATAATCCTGGATCTTTCGTTGTTCAAAGTTTGGAAAAATCTTCAAAATGTCAGTCAATGGTAGTCAGGTTCTTCAGTGCATCTTAGTATAATGCAGCTGTTGTAGTAATGATGAAAGTACTAGGAAGCTAATGTTGGTGGAAAAATTGAATTTTGTCTACTAGTTCCAGGAACAATCAGATTCTTGCTTTCATGTGATGAGTTGATAACTGAAGTTTGATACGTCATTGCTGCTATTTATAATTACATGTTTAAGAACATTTTTAACTGTAGTTTTTCTGGTGCTTTATAAAGGAGGTCAGCATAATTATCCCCATTAATAAACAGGGTGAGAGATGAAGAAAGGAATTCTATGCTAATCGGAGCTGGAAATGAAACAGTCTTCTAAGGTTCAGGCCAGTACTCCATCCACATAGACATTTTTGATTGCCATGACTGATGCATCAGATGTTAAGTGAAGAATTTCTTTGATTTTTCTTAAGTGTGGTGTGACAGGTGTGGAGAAACCAGCTATTTGTTATCCAACCTGCATTACATGTCCTAATTCTTAAGGTATTTATTTTAGCTTGGTGTCTTATCAGTCTCATTACCTGGCCACAGAGGTGGTGTTCTGTATATATAGTATATTTCCATATATACTGTAGTATATTTTCTAATTCTGCTTCTACAATTAAACCTTGTAGTGAATTTGTTAAGTTCTACTGAGTTTATGGCTGTCTCTAAGAAAAGATTTTCCCTTTACCTTCTACCTCCTTGTTCAGTGTCACATGCCTGTATTAATTGTCAGTCTGGTGTTTCTGAATGTCAACTGAAGAGCAATCTGAAGAATCACATTGTGTTTCTTGCTGAATTGATGAAGTAAAAGTGTACTGCTAGCAGATTCCTCCAGTGTGCACGAAAGCAAAGCATTGAGTTTGAATAACCTTCTCTCTCCCTATGTCCTTTTAAGCTTTCTGCCTTCTACGCAGAAATCTCTGGAAAAATTGGGTAGGGGAAGGAAATTCTAGAAGAAAGTTACAATAAACTAAGAACTTTGCATATGTAAAGAACATCATAAGCCTGTCTAAGCTGTGTGCTGCACTCATTGAATTCAATGGGAAGATTATCAATGCTGGGAAGCTAGTCAATTTTATTTCAAGGACAACAGAGATGTGATGTTACTATTTTTTTTGAACTAAAGACCTATGATACATTTTATTCCTGAAATGAATTTTTACATGTGCTTTTAAAAGGTTGACTTTTTAGAACACTTTGTGGTAGGATTTCTTTGATCACTTGTCACTCTTGGTTCAAAGCTGTCAGCTGTTACAGTTCTTAAAGATATCACACAGATTTCCATAAATATGTCTACTTGATTGTACAATTTTCTAATAACTTATCATTCAAGCAGAGTTTATTGAGGACAACTATATCATCAGTTTCTTTCTTAATTAGTAAATGCTTGAGTGATTGACTTTTAGACTGAAATAACTCAAGTTCAATATGAAAGGTAAACTGAAAAGCAAGCCTTTAACAGTACAATATTCAAGTCACTATTTCTGGTTGTATATACAAATGTGTTTGTGCTTTTTTTTATTGCATCATCTTTTAAATAGAAACATTTTTAAGACAGAGAGGCTAGATTTATGATTGATTTCACAAATGCTGAAGTTATATTCCAGTCATCTTGCTGATGATACAAACTGATCTGTAGGGCTAGCAAGCAGTTAGTGTCTTCACGTTACTTTATATAGTCTGCATTCATTTGTACGGTTCAGTTATTTGAATTCTCTTTTCCTGCTTTCTTCTACTGAAGTCAGTGCAAAATTTGGCTGTTCTCTTCACTGATGGCACTGACTCCTTTTTTCATGGGTAAATTGGAAGAAATTCAGTTTTCATTTGATCATGACATAAATGTTTGATATAAAGGAAAAGGAGGTGTGGGATGTCTCCAAATATACCTACATTTCTAAACTTAGTGAGTTAAAAGTAATAATTAGTACATGAAAAACTGTAAACATCTTCATTTCTAGCTCTTGGTGAAAACACTTAAAATTTTGTTTTGTTTTGGTGTTGTCCTGTGATACTAATTCTAAAATTTGCAAGTATTGTAATATTTTTCACGTTTGTATGACTTTTCACTTGAAAACAAAAATCCCTGCCTAATAAGAAAAAAAACCTTGCACTTTTCACCTCAATCAAGGACTAATCATCGTGGAAGCCAGCCTATTCTTGATTGAAAAAAATGAATAGTTATTTAATAAATGCCGTATAACTTCTCACATCTGAAAAACATCTTCCAACACTGAAAACTGTGTATGTACTTACTGAGCATAGCAAAGGCTGGCTTTTCAACCTGAGTACAATAGCCACACTGTGTAGCACTGAACTTCATGATATTAAGACAGAATCTTTCAACAATTGAAATACACAATGGAACTAAATCACAGTGACAAAATTGAACTTTTCCAGGTTTGGGAGTCTATAGTGTTTTCAACACTGAAGAAGTGAGGAGTCAACACTGAAAAAGTGGGGAGGTTTGATTCTTACCCTGAAAAGCATGTGACTAAAAATGGTATTTATGGAGAAGGCTCTTACCAAGTTCCTACCCACTCCCCCTAAGAATTTGAACCTTTCTTTTAAAAGAGAATACTTATCCTTTAAGAGAACACTTAGCATGCCACATGCAGCTCATGCAATGCCTTGACTGTCCTGAAACCGCAGGGCACAGGACAGAATGCCTTGAAGAGCCTCCAAATGCAAATGCCTTATTTTAATAAAAATTAAACACAGAAATTTTATTCAAGCCTCCTTGAAGTAGTAAAAAAACCAAACACCCCCCCCTCCTAACACCCCTCCCCCCCCCCCCCCCCCCCCCAACATTACAGGATTGACACTTTTATAGTCTGGGTCTCCCCAAACCTTGGTAGAGCCTGGGTCTCCCCAAACTTTGGTAAAGCATAATATCCCTTTTTGGTCTTGCTTTTAGCCATTTTCTCAACCTGTATAAACCAATAAAAATCTTCTAAAGAAAAGGTACTGGAAGATGTGTAGGGAGAAGTGCTTGTTTTAAAAACAGTTTTAAAAACTTATTAGCTTCAGTTGAAGTCCATCTTTAAAGCAGCCTTCAAAGGGGAATTTGGGTCCCCTTTACTGTATGTTTATAAGCAGTTATTTCTCACCTGGTCTATGCATGCCTACAGTAGTGCAGTGGCTGATACCAAATCTAATTGGTGATTTTTCTGCTAATGTAACAGGTAACTTGGACACTTTAAGTGTTTTTGTGTGTTTGGAAGAGAAAGACATGGACCTTTCAAGTAAACATTTTCTTGTATGGTGTTTTGAAGGGGAAAAGTGTTTGGATGTGTGGCTACTTCAAATAGTGCAAATGGCTTTTCCTTGCATTTATATAGTCAGTGTGGTGAATTCTGACTGCTGCTCAGGGCAATGCTATTTTCTTGCATGGAGGATTTAAAACCTTCAGTGAGATAGACCACAAATCCTGGCTTTGATACCACTGTGTAGTGACTCACTGCAAGGGCACTGTCAGTGCAGGTGGTGGTGGTGCAGCAGTGTTCACAAGAAGAAATTGGACTTTGTGATTATTGTCATTGTGCAGTTACTCCCTTGATACTTGTCTCTGTCTCCTTTGGACCTTTTTCTTTTCAGGTTAGCTACTTAGCACTGCTTTTCCCTGTGCGTAATGGTGGTGGGGAGGGCAATGTGTAATTAATGTTACAACAACAACAACAAAAAAAGCCCTAAATGTCCAAGCTGGCCACCCAACCATAAGCGTGTTTTGCACACAGAAGCACAAGTGACGTGTGAGGAGACGAGTCCCTGTCTGATCACACTGAGCCCCATTTCAGTGTGTTCAATGCAACAGCATTTTCATACAACATTTTTAAAAACACTTCTCAACTTTCTGCTAAATAATAGGCCCTTCCAGAAAAGGGTTAGTTTTGTCTCCTGTTGCCTTTTTTGTTTGCTGTATTTTGGAATGTGTGATCTGTTTCAAGATCAAGTTAAATCCAGTTGGCGGTGGGTCACAAGTGGTGTTCCCCAGGGCTCAGTATTGGGGCCAGTTCTGTTTAATACCTTTATCAATGATCTGGATGAGGGGATTGAGTGCACCCTCAGCAAGTTTGCAGATGACACCAGGTTGGGAGGGTAGGAAGGCTCTACAGAGGGATCTGGACAGGCTGGATCAATGGGCCAAGGCCAATTGTATGAGGTTCAACAAGGCCAAGTGCCGGGTCCTGCACTTCGGTCACAGCGACCCCATGCAGTGCTACAGACTTGGGGAGGAGTGGCTGGAAAGCTGCCCAGCAGAGAAAGACCTGGGTGTGCTGGTTGACAGCCGGCTGAATATGAGCCAGCAGTGTGCCCAGGTGGCCAAGGTGGCCAACAGCATCCTGGCCTGTATCAGAAATAGTGTGGCCGGCGGGAGCAGGGAGGTGATTGTTCCCCTGTACTCGGCACTGGTGAGGCCGCACCTGGGGTACTGTGTTCAGTTTTGGGCCCTTCACTACAGGAGAGACATTGAGGTGCTGGAGTGTGTCCAGAGAAGGGCAACCGAGTTGGTGAGGGGCCTGGAGCACAAGTCTTATGAGGAGCGGCTGAGGGAGCTGGGGCTGTTTAG